AATAAATAAAATTAATTATTAAAACTGAAACAATAACATAAGCGAGTAAACTTGTAAATAAAACTATACATATTTGGAAATTATTAAATAGATAATGAATTAATAAAACGTGAATTATTGTGCTCACCTGTGTATGATTGAATATTCACTGAGAAAGAAGTGAGTCTAATGCGTGTTTGCCGTGTCATGTTTCAGTAAGAAATAAATAAAGCCACTTGCGTGCGGCGCACTCTTGCGAGCGGCGCACTCTCAAAACAATTCTGTGTGGAGCGCATGCGTCTCATAATCGCGTCTCGCCGCACTGTACCAAGCCTTGACGAATCGTCATGTCAAATATAAATACATCACATCACACGCAACGGATCGGCTCAGCTCAGCATCGATCAAATACGGAGTTTTACAGATTAGTCTTCAAATATCGAAAAGGAGGACATGTAGGAGGACACTTTTCGAGAGAGGACAGAACTTACAAAAGAAGGACTGTCCTCCCTAAAGGAGGACGGTTGGTCACCTTACTATACAGTATAACTTGTATCTGAATTTAGACTTTGGTGGCCATCTTACTACGATCCATTGACCTGGCAAATGCCAGACATCCAAACAAGAAAGCAACATTAGCAGATTAAATAATACAGGCCAAATCATTGTGATTTATGGGGTTCCAAAGTCCTCATCTTACCTTCTTTCAAAGGATAGATATGTTATTCTATAGTTTATTCAGTGCATCATCAGTTTCAGGATATAGTTAATAAGTCAGAGTAAGACTGACCCAAAGTCATCCAGCAGACTTGGTGCCTAAGGTGGGACTAGAACTCATAGTTTCCTGGTTTCTCCTTTGGTGCCTTAACCGTTATACCAGACCAGTTGTTCCACTTCCATTATAATAAAATAGAAGGGCTACTTGATTTAAGGACAACCTCTACAGATGTGGTAATTTAGACGCAACTTATTATCATATTTGGTGGACATGTAGGGATGTAAAGGCTTTTTGGATTAAGATCTGGTGGAACATCCAACAGATTTTTAAGAAAAAGATAAAATTCACACCGTAATTATTTTTATTGGGTATTATGGAAAATTTGGATTTTAAAGAAATGAATTTGATGCTGTACTGCATAACATCAGCAAGGTTATTGGTCACTCAAAATTGGAAGAAGGATGTATTACCTACTATGGACGATTGGAGATTGAAGGTGTCATATTTTGCAGAAATGGCCAAAATTTCCACATATTTGAAAGATCAATCTCAAGAAAAATTTATTTCGGTTTGGAGAAGATGGATAGATTATATTCAGAGAAAGTATGAAATGAATAATTATCATATTGCTTTTGATTAAATTTTTTGTTATTTTTATTTACTTAGTATAATTTATATATTACTATATTTTATATTCATGTTTATTATTGTATATTAGAGTTAAAGTATGTTAATATTTGATTGTATTAAGTTTGGGTAGCTTTATTTAGATTTGGGATGTTATGTGCTTATCCCTGTATTCAGTTCTGGGAAGTCCGGGGGGGGGAGGGGGGAAGGGGATGAAGGGGGTAGAGTTATATAAAATTTGGTGTATTAATATGTTATAGAGAAATAATGTAATTTTTTCTTTGTGAAGAGAAGGTGGTCGGCTGGTACCCCCAAACTGCATCCGAAGGTTGAGGAAAAGAAGGAGGTGAGATGTGTAGGGTAGTTGGAAGAGAAAGAGGAGAGAGGCATGGGTAGGAGGGGAGGAAAGGAAGAGGGAAGTAGGTAGGAAGGGTGAAAGAGAGGGTGGATGCGGGGGGGGAGTGCCGACCACCTCTGAAAATATGATGTTTAATAGGTATTTTTTCTTCCTTTTTTATGTGCACCATATTTGTATTAAGAATTTGTTTATTTGAAAATTAATAAAAAATTTGAAAAAAAAACTGCAAGAAAAGAAAAAAGTTGAGGAAAAACAGAAAATGAAGAAAAAAAATGCTCCTGATATTTTTCACAGCAGTTATAAAAATAATAGGTTTTTGCTTTCTAAAATTACACGATCCTCCTCTTTTTCCCCATAATCTATCCTATGTAATCATCCAAACCATAAATCACGTTCCTTTTTATTTTTATGCAAAAATTCCATAAGAGGCTTTTAGTCATCAATAAATATAGATAATATTATCTACGGGGCTCCCTCTATGCAGGGAGGCTGATGGGATAGAGAAGGTTCCCATGCCCAGGGGCCCATCATTATCCATTAATCCTAAAAGGGAAGGTTCTGGCTTCAATAGACTATTGATCTATAAAACCATCTGCATCAAAGTATGCCTTTCAAGCCAAGTATTTTCAGTTTTTTTACATGATAAAATGTTCCTTTGTGTTGTTCACATTTCCAGTGTGCATTTGAAGAGTCTTTATGCATTCTAGATAATTTTTCTGGCATCATGTACCAATGAGACATGATTTTATAAAAATTCTCTTTGAGATCATAACATAATGTAAATTCAACCCTTTTGACCATGTACAGTATTTTCCCACTGACCATCTGCATATTATAGCCAAAATTCGTAGCCCACTTTATCATGCATTCTTTAAACTGTTCTTCCTCTGCTTCAAAGAATAGCTTTCTTCAGAGCCAGATTTAACATTCTTCCCTCAGCACTCCTCCAGGGCAGGTATAAG